AAAAAAAAACCAACAAAGATTTAAGATATACGAGGAACTTTTCATCTAAATAATGTTAAATGGATTATATATATCTTTGACTATTCACAATTGAAAGATTTTAAGTAGCAAATTCATAAAAATATTATATAACAATGAGATAGATAGAATTCCATACACATATATTTAAGGAGAAAAAAAGATAAATTAATAATACATTCAAATAACTAAAAAATTAACATTATAAGGCAAAAACATTACATCAAGAGCTAGCGTATCGATGTTTTATCCATTTGCTTGAAATGGGATCTATTGAATAAGGAATCTTAATTTGTTATTCTTAGCGGTTAAGTCATCCAAATATCTTCAAGGAAATAATGAACAAAATTCATAAGTTGAAACATGTTATCAAATATAAGTTTAATTGTTTATTAAAAATGAAATTTAATTAATCTATTTACTCATAATAAATCATCATTTAACAATTTTAATTATCTTTAGTATATCTTTAGTAGTACTAATATCATTATCACAATAACAACCACCCGCACACTATCATCATTATCATTTTATCATCACTTAATTATGTTTCTACCTCTTTATCATTAAAATAATAACCAATATCACTATTTATTATCACTACTACACTACCACCACTACTAGTTGTCACATCATAATCACTACTAATATCATCATGACCATAACAAACACCATCACTATTATTAATACTATTACTATAACTATCATTAAAAATATTATCATCATAATTACTACTATCACCTTCACTATCTACATCATAAACATCATAAATTTTTATATCATACTATCATTAATAAATAATAATATCAATTAATACCTTGATTACTATAAATTACTTATTAATTTATTTTCTTTAAATTTATAATAAAATCTATAATTGACTAAAATTAATTGGGACTCAACTAATTTTCCATCATTTTATTCAATTCAAACTTATTCAACCTAAATTAATACCTTTAAATTCTTATCAATTTAATGCAAAATCAATTTTCCCTAATTTTCCAACTTAACCATAAAATTGATAAAAAAACAAAAACACAAATAATTGGTACCTATTAAATTACCCATAATTTATTCAATTATAACATACCTAATTTATAAAATAACACTCAATTTCATCAAGTGATAAATTAAATCAATTTCCTATAAATCCTAAACAAATTTTAAAATACAAATAATGCATTAATATAATAAAATTATTATTAATATAAAACAAGTAAAACACTTAAATATATAAGCAATCTAGGAATATTACACATAAATTTCAATAAATTGACTTAATTAAAACATAAATGGGTTACAATAAAAATGGATGGGTTTGCTTACTTGGTGAAGTAAAGCTTGACAAGAAATGGAATTAAGGAAGGGCAGATAAAACTACTTGATAAAGGTTGGTTAGTGCCAATGGTTGGCAGGCTGAATTTGTGGGGGGCTATCGATATTGATGAAATAAAAGATAGAAGGTTGTTATTTTAATTACATAAAAAGGAAGAAACGGGGAGAGGAGAGACACTGCTAGGTTTTAATGTATTTTAAAATCACTAATCGAATAGGAAGAAACGGGGAGAGGAGAGGCACTGCTAGGTTTTAATTTATTTTAAAATCACTAATAGAATTTTCTTTGGCAATTTATCACATCAACAATGCCAATGAAATTGTTGATGATATATTTTTTTTATTCCATTGTTGTTTTTATAAAAAATTATTAACAAAATTTTTTAGTTGCAATTATTATTAATAAACAATGATGAAATATTATCCATTCGTGTTTTTGTTGTTTTTTCTCGATGTTCTAGTAGTGTTAATACTTAAAAGAAGAATGCAAGTATTATTTATTTGAATATCATCATTTGACTAATTTGTTTGAATCCTAGAGAAACTAGTAGGTATCAATAGAAAAGGAAGTCTAGAAACTTGATTAGAAAATGTAGGGTGGATTTGTTCTGCTTGGTGGGAACCAAATTTAAGGATGTTGATTAAGGTGATTAATGAAATTTAGGGTCATAATAGTCAATATCAAGTTTATTTTCTTATATTTTATGTTTGAGCTAAATAAGTGACATGAGATTGCACGTACTTATATATATATATATATATAATTTATACATCACCTAATAGCTTTAAGTTGTAGAATTAAATTGATTCTTTAACATATATAACACCAAATCTTCAAAGAATTTTAACATTTCATCAAAAAATCCTAAAACCCTATTCAATTTGACAAAATAAAAAAATAGATTGCAAATGAAAATGAATGTTAATAAATATATCTCATGTTAAATAAATACAAAAAAACTATAAAAGATTAAGAATAATTCATCCATCATAAGGTTAAGTCTTTTGGATGGAACCTAAATTCAACTATCAAATTAAATGTGGTATATGTCATAACCTAATTTTTTACCCCTCTCAAATACACTAAAAAAGAAAACAAATTAACAAAAAAGTTGAAAATTAAGGATGGAGTTGAGAAGGAATATTGAGATAAATGCTTAAATTAGCTAAAAAGTTGTTAATTAGGAAGTTAAGGATTGAAATGGAATAAATGAAGAAATTGAAGGATCATTTGAATACTATAATGGATTAAATTGAGAAGAAATATTGATAAAAAGGTTGAAATTGACCACTAAAAAATAAAGAACCAAGGATTAAATTAAAAAAAGACAAATAAATTAAGGGATAACTTTGAAAGACATAAAAACCTTGTTTAAGCCAAAATGATGTTATTTTAATAAGGTAAAACAATGCATTTTAGTCTTAAAAGAAATTATGTGTTTTATTTTAAAACAAAAAAAAAAACATCACATCTTAATTTGCTTTCAAGGCAAATATTGGATGGTTTATCAATTAATGCATCACATATATATCCCAACAATATGATTGCAATGATTTATGATGATTCTCTAAACTAGGTGATCGGTGACATCGCTATAAATTTGGTCATTGGACCACAATAATTATAGGTTACCTTATATGTAATTGATAGTAGTCTTTTTATAACATGTTGTTATGTTGATCTTAAATTCATATTGCAAGAGTTGTGACATTATCTTTGCATCGAAAGCTTAAATATATGGTCAATAGAAACCTAATGACTATAAAAATAGAATAGGTGGAGGAAGAATGTGTTAGTGTCTTACATATAAGTTGAAGGAAGTTACGATGAAGATCTTTATGCATTCAAGGTTGTGTATACTTATTTGGTGCTTAGAAATACAATACTGAGAAAGCTAAAGATTATAGCTTAAACATTATAAAGTTGAAATATATCGATAAGTGGTTTGACTTGGGTTTTAAATAAGTAAAAATGATTACTTAAGAGTGGCAGAAAGGAAATATAAGAAAATCGTAGCTTAAACTAAAAGACATTATCTTAATAATTAAAGACCGATGTTCCACTTATTTATAATACCTTTCTTCATCCATCTTATGTAATATAGTCTATTGATGAATTAAAAAACCTAAATAAAATATTTATTAATCTCACCATAAATAATTTGGAAGAGAAAGAGATTGAAAAACATGTCATCTATCTTGTGTCAATGTTAATAGGTTCTTAAATAATTAACTTGCTTTATATAATAATCAATACCTTAGAAGATGCATAATCCATTGAACAATTGGTAAGAGATGTCTCAATGGGAAAAACTTGATACTTATGAGATATAAGAGATCGAAATGGTGTTCAAATTTAAGTAAT